AGTACTGCGTAGGGTACACAGTTCGTATGTGCTACACTTTCACAGGACTGAGAGCACACTAGGTTTGTGTGCACCGCCATCACCACAAACACACAATGGGTTGCATTATGACATCATAAAGCCTATGTCATTGTTGGGTAACAAGAATATGTCGGCTCCTTACAATCATATGTGATCACTGTTGTGTGTGACAAAGACATGCTTCTCAGGAGTGTCTTTGTCTTTTATGTCACACTCACGCATGCGCGCGCGCGCACACACACACACAATATGCAGATGTACAAACAGATACTGATCAGATGCTTAAGCAGCCTTATTTCATAAAGATTAATTTGTACTCTACTGTGCAGTTTTTCCATGTGAAAAGCTCTTAGACACTAGTTTTCACTTCTGAAGAAGATTTTAAATTCTCTATCTCCAAAGACATCTAAATCTGGTATGCTTTAGAAGCAATCAAGCCAAAATCAGTATCCTGATATGCTACTGCAGAGAACTCCAAGGGTACTTTGTCCATGCAAGATTTAATATACAATTTTGTAAAAGAATTCACATAAACCACACGGAGAAAGGTGGAAAATGACTCCTCATCACATTTTTGCTCTACTCTCTCACATATGAATGAGATTTCTTGGAAAAATCTTTTTCATAATTGCATTGCAGTTTTATCATAGAAAACCTTCACCAGCTCTATAACAAATCACCACTTCTTCTAGTCCACACCAAACCTCTGCTATGAAGACTTTCTTTCTCGTTTCCGCCTTGTTTGAATCCTTCTTCTGGAAACACACCCTTCTCTCCTTTGATCTCAGTGACTCTTCCTTCCCAACCCACTGATGAGCTCCAGCCTAGCCTCTATCTACATCTCTTCCTATAGTTTTAAACACAATCTATATATGGATTCTTTCCAGATTCCAGCCTATAACTCTGATCTCTCCAGAATTCAAGCATCTTATGTTCGACTACATACCTGACATCTGTTCTTGAACAACTAGACACCTCATAATAAACAAAGCAGAACCCTTGATTCCTATCTGTTCTTCCTCTAATTTTCTCCATTAAACTCTAGTACCATTCATCTAGTTGATTTCTTAATACCAATGAGACTCTTTATATTAGTTTTGTACTAATGTATAAATTCCCTTAAAATTTATTCTCTTAAAACAGTAAAAATTCAGTATCTTTAATGGTTCTGCAGGTCTGCAATCTAAACATGACTTAGCTGGTGGTTCTGGATCAAAACCTTTATAGGGCTACATTAAAGATGTTCCCCAGACCTGGTCACAGGAAATTTTGAGTAGGATGACCAATTCCTAGACCATGTGGCTCAATTAATTCTGCATACTGACAGGCTTCAGTTCTACACCAGACACCTTCCTTCAGTTCCACATCAGCAGAAGAAATAGCCTCAGAATATGGCAGCTGACTTCCCCCAAACTAAGAGATCCAAGACATTAAAAGGCAAACACGGGGATTTCTTTTTGGATCCAAAGTCAAGATGCCCATTCACTTCTGTTATATTCTATGGGCCATGCAGGTTTCCCCCCTCTATCCATGATGAGATGACACAAAGGCCTGAATGCCGGGAAGCATGCATTGTGGGGCTGATCTTGGAGGCCAAAACAATAATGAATGAAAAAAAAAATCACACAATCAAACTTTTAGAAATCTTTTCAATCCCAGATGTTCCTTTCTTTCCTATAACTTATTCCATAAATGTACAAACTTAACACAGAAAATTGTGCGATATGGCACCCTAATGCAGGTACCTATCATTCTCCTCCCCCCAATAATTTTTTTTTTTTGGTACTGGGGATCGAACTCAGGACCTTGCGCTTGCGAGGCAGGCAGCAGAACCACTGAGCTAAATTCCCGGCTCCCCAATAAATTTTGACAGTGCACGTGAGATGAGAGGCTTCACCAGAATCTTTAGAGAAATAAGTTATGAACTTTGTATTACCATAGGTGGGATTCTAGGAGTCTAAGGAGGTAAAATTTCTATAAATAAGCATAAATCCCCCAAAAGATTAGTTATCAAACATCTCAAACATTACTCAGGAGCAATTGCTTGTTACTTGTGAGCAATCCTGAAAACTCCTCCCAGTGTCCTGACAGAGTTTCTGTTATCGTTATAGTGCTCTGCAATATACGGGAATGATGTAGAACCTTACCAAGGAGGTAAGATATTTCTCCTTCCTGAGAAATATCATTTTCATTAGCATTCTTAAAAACTGCTGTTTTACTGGAGACCTTTAGATGGCAAATGACAAAAATCTCCAAAACTGGCTTTTAATAAAATGTCTTGACTCATGTAATCAAATTCTTGTAATGCAAGTAAGCCTCAGATAAAGTAAAACTAGTCCTCAATAGTTCTCACTGTAGAAGGAGTCGCTGGATGGTCAGTGGGTGTGCTTCAGTGACGTCAACAAGGGCCAGGGCTCTGTGGTGGTCTCTGCCACAGAGAGCCAACAGAACGAGCAGTGACTGCAGCCGGGCCTGCATGGCCCCTGGGACATCTTCCAAACAGCTGGGAGAAGCGTGGCTCCAACAAGATAGTCTCCCCAGGGCAGGTGCCACTGTGGCCCAGTTCTGTTCTGCCTTAAGATGACTCAATACAGCTTGCAGTTACTGTCCAGCCACAAGCATTTATGTTATGAAGAAGAAACTACAATGACTTCAAATCTACTATTTAAAAATATTTGGGGCCATTTTTAATGTGCCTTTGGATTCAGACATTATACGAGGGAGTTGTTTCCAAAATAAATAAAATGGTATTGCAAAAATTTCTGTTCTTCTCTGTGGGCATCCATGCATTTTGCATAACTAGGATTCTCCATTCAGCTGTAATTACAGCCACACCAGCTCCTGGTTCAAATCTGCTCACTTTAGCCAACAAAAGGACACAACTCTTCCCTCCTAACCCAATGTGAAACCTCTCTGAGGGCTCTGACTGACACGGCCTGGTTCACATGAGCACCTCGTTCACACAGGGGAGAGGGATGCCACGCCTCAGGTGGATTATGATATTCACTCCAGGGAATCCCTGAGAGCACCAAAGATAGAAGGGTCCATTGAGAATATACATTAGAGTGGGAAAAATATTTCCCCAACTACAGAAGTATGCTCTTCCCAAGGGAAAGGAAAGCTGACTGTCAGGCAAAACAATGCATGTCAACTAAACTTGTAGCCTCAAACACTGTAAGTGTAACAGCTGTTTTAATACTTGAAGATGTAGAATCTAGGGAATAAATGGTTTTAAAGTACAAGCAGTCTTTTGGAAAATACTTACACAAACTTACCTTATCCTCGCTGGGACTTAACTTAGTACTAATGCTCAACTTAAAATCTGTAAGAATACATAATTTTTTAAAAAATCAATGTACATACTGAATGAGTCAACAGTTCAAAGAAGAAGGTCATTTTTTGAGCATTCTACAGTAAAGTACTGTGAAACATAAGGGAAAAGTAACTATACTATAATTCATAATTCATACCCTCAAGTCTAAATCAGGAGTCAGCTATACAAAAATAAATAACGATCAGAGGATGGGAAAATTTTCTTAGAGACAAATGAGAGATTGTGTCCAAAAGGAAACTGAATCAGTGAATTAAAAGCTTAGCTACAAGAATTTTTCTGACAATCTGTGGGGGGATGAAAATTATAAAAGGAAGGACATCAGAAAAATAAAATAGATCTATGAGATCATAGACTCTGAAGCAGGAAGGAAAACAAAATGTAATAATTTAAAAGAAAAAAGAAATTTTCTCAAACTAGGCAAGTATTAGACAAGATTCATGAAATAAGATTCATAACTAGACATAGCAAGTAGACTGGCTAAACCTCAAAGATAAATTGCTATGGTTTAATCTGGACCATCCCCTAAAGACTTCTGTATTCAGAGGTAGAGTTTTTGAAATGGAAGTGGATCTAACTTGCTATTGGGAGTTGCAGTCTGGTACGAAGAGACAGGTCACTGAGGGCGTGGCCTGGAAGGGTACATCTCCCTTCCCAGCTCCTCCCCTCCTTCTCTTCTTCCTGGTCACCATGATGCGAGAGGCTTTCCTCCCCCAAACCCTTCCACCATTCCCTTCATGCCTTGGAACTGGTTGACTATGGACTGAATCCTATAAAAACTTTAGCCAAAATAAACCTCTCCTAAGTTGAGAGTGTTGGATATTGTGTCTGGGCAACAGAAAAATGTCTAAAACATAAGTAATCCTTACAAATACACAGGAAATTTTTATTAAATGTTTCCTAGGAAGGAAAGATAATTGGATTGTATGACTCACAGGCTTCCTTTTTAGTGATTAAAATAACTCATCCATTCATCAAATACGTATTAAGTGCTTACTATGTGCTACTTAGAGGTTGGCATTAGAGCAGTGAACTGGATAAAGTCTCTGTGTGAGACTTACTTATATTCTCATAGGACTAAACAAAACTCCATGGGCAGAATAGAGAACCCTACTAGAACAGACAATTTCTGCCTAAGAATTTTTTTCATCATATTTAAAAGATGATACATTCATTTTCCTTTGTGAGACACTGCATCAAGCAGGATTAGGTTCAATTTTAGGAATAAATTAACAGAAGCTTGTGGTTTTGCCTAAACGAACACACAGCTAGGCAGTCCATGGGGATTACAGCACCTCAGCTCCATGTTAACTTCGGAGATCCTGACTGCTTCATTCCTAAGAATACCCCTTTACCCACTCTGTCTCTGTCTCTCTCAACATATTTTGGGGAGTCAGCATTTGGGGGGGGGGGGGGGGTACCAGGGATCGAACTCGGGTCCTTCCGCTTTTGAGACAGGCCGCGGAACCACTGATCTAAATCCCTGGCCCGGGAGTCAGCATTTTAACAGGCATTAGAGGTGACATTCATACAGGTAGTTTGTAACCTACTAGAGAATCCAGATTTAAAGAAGAGAAGGAAAGTAAGTGACTCAAAATATTCACAATGAAATAAAATCACTTTGAAGACGAAACTATATAATCATTACCTGATAAGAATAGAGAGATAAATGGGCCGGGGATTTAGCTCAGTGGTTCCGCTGCCTGCCTCGCAAGCTCAAGGACCCGAGTTCGATCCCTGGTACCAAAAAAAAAGAATAGAAATAAGTAACTCCATGACAAAACCCAGACCACTCACATTTGAAAAACAAAATTACTTTGAGATATTTTCCCATGTACAGAAACTGTCAGTGGGACGCGATGACCCACGGTGAACCCACAGACACAGTGGGAAAGCCCAAAAGCAGCCTCACTTCTTTCCTCAAATGCAACACTTCATCATGCACGTCCTTTTTTAGGCCTTCTCCAACCATCCTCTCAGGAAAAGTTTGGATTTACAGTAAACATTAATCTTTCAAACGTTTTATAGTTCATAGTTATTTTATAGTTTTTAATTATTTTTGTTTCTGTTCGGCTGCATATGAGAAACACACGTGACCGACTACTGTGGTTCTCGTAACAAAGGCGATAATGTAATCGTTTTTAACTTAGGGAGCTGGGCAAAAATGCAAAATAAATTTTGGCTTCCATATGCTCATCTCCATTTTACTCTGAAGAAAGATAGGCTACAAGAGAAAATCCTAGAACACGGTGTCATAAAGCCAGATAAAAAATGTTTAACAGTATTTTGTAACATCGATCATTCTACCAGGTTTCCTTAACACGAATTCAAAATGAATTGCTTCCGTTTGAGAAGTGCTTTTCAAAAATTCCACTGGTCCTGCTTAGAAGATAGATATTAATACCATGTAAATAATCAGGTTTGACAAGGAGAATTCTGCAGACCTCACTATTCCCCTCAATACATTTTCCTTTCTCTCTTTTCACTAAGTGCTTTGCTCTCAACTGCTGTCTCATTTCCAAATGAATTCTTCTCGGGCTTCAGGTCACCAAAGCAGCCTCTCAGGCCCCTGTACTAAGGCATTCCTGGATCAAATAGTTCCAGACCAGGGAAAGATCATTTATTAAAGTATGAGCTTTGCCAAGGAAACCGACTGTCGGAAAGTCTCTCCGACGCTGGGAAACTTACCTGCCTTTGTCATTTGAATGTAGACACTGGTTGCAGACATACCTCCTAAAATCCCTTCTAAAATCCTGATTTAAACATCACCAGAAGTCTCACAAAGCTGAGGGGGTAGGTTTTCTTAAGAAAAGGAATTAGGCGAGTTTTACACCTCCCCAAGCCCCAAATGGTACTTTCTTATGAAAATCTATTCGGGCTCCAGCGCACTACCCAAGGAAGAGGGGGTCTGAGCCCGCACTTTTGCAGGGCAGGAAAGCCCTCAGGACAGCAAAGCCCTCAGGACAGCAAAGCCCTCAGGACAGGGCAACCGCTCCCCTGGCCGCGCGGCGTCACGTGACCAGCGGGGTCCACACCTGTGCGCAACCACACCGCGCAGTCTCCGCGGGCCTCGCCCCGGCGGTATCACATGACCCAGCGGCGCGGCCAATCCGCGCAGCGCTCCGAGGCATTCAAATCAGCCGCGGGCCGACAGTTGTGCGCAGACTCGCGGGAGCTGGACCCGCGTCCAGGGTGGTCCGGTCCGCCGCCATGGACGTCGCGGCGCACTGACAGCCCATGGAGAGTCGGGGGGCGCCTCCCGGGCCCTACCGGGCCACCAAGCTGGTAAGAGCGCGGAGCGACAGGGATGCCCCGCGGGCCGGCGGTGGCCACCACGTGGGCGCCGAGGTCCGGTGGAGAGGAGGCTGGGGACCCTCGCTGTCCGCCTTGGGCCCAAGGGAGCGGCCCCGAAGGTGTGGCTCTGGGGACGACTGCTGTGCCTGGGGCATGGGGACCCCGACGCGTCACCGAGGTGCCCACTGCGGCTGCTTCCGTCCCTGGTTTTCCGGCCCCTCGGGCTGAGAGAAGAGTGGAGAACGGGCTCCAGAGGCGGTGGTCAGATCGGGCCGAGCCCGAGTAGGAATCGCGTTGATTTCTTTTATTGGGCAGTAGAATGGAAGGCAGGGAGGACCCAGGCGACCACGACGGTGGCCACTGATCCGTGGGTGCCCTTGCAGTGTTTACTGCGTCTTCAGCCCTCCAGGACACTGTGCTGCTGCTGGTCCTGTGACGTTAGATTTCCTGAACATCCGGTGAGACTCGGTTTCCCCGTTGATAATGTAGTATATGCCCACCCTGCGGGGTGTCCTGGGAGGATATGTGTAGGACAGGGTCTTGGCATCTCAGAGTAACAAGCAAGGCGTCCTCAGGAGTGCCCTTCCGATGTGAGCATGTGTAATTAGCCCTACTTTACCGATGTGTGGAAAGTGAGGCTCACAAGTTAAGTGACCCTCCCAAAGTCACATGAACAGTTAAGTGACCGAGCTAGAAGAAGGCAAATCTTTCTAGTATGGTGACCTTGACAGGAATTCCGCTGCTCAGTAAGTTTTTGATTATATTTATCAATGTAAGGAATAGAGTTTATGACTGGAAGGAACCTTAATGAGATAGTTCTATCGCATTATTAAAAGTCCATTACATTAAAGTACTAGGAGCATGCTGAAAAAAAATTTATTGTCCATTAGTACTTTACAAAATTTAAATTATTTTATCATTACCACAAGCCCATTAAATAGGTACTGTACTCTCCCCATGTATGGATAAGGAGATTGAGAAACAGAGAAGGCACAAAAGTTCATCAACAATAAGTGCTAAGGCTACAGCTAGGAAACTAACCATAGTTGTCCAACTCTAGAGCCTACTCTTAAAACTACTACAGTATACTACACTTCAGTAGAGCTCTTTTGGAGTCTCCCTACATGTAGGGAGTACCCACTCATGCCACCCCCTCTTTCATTTTTACTACTGTGTGGCCAGACCAATACATAGTGGACATTTCAAATAAATTTATTGAATAAACATGAACTGGGGAGTTGGAAAGAAAAGAATACTGCTTTCAGTCCTTAAGTTCTGTGCTGTGATGCGGGGGCCACATAGGTTAGGTAAGTGGTAACATAGCCAGTTGTCACATAAATGGGGTTACAGATTAAATTTCTTAAAGTCTAGTGTAGAATTTATCAGTTAAAAAGTGATGTTTATTCTGTACCACCACCACCACCCGTCAGAGCTCTGACAAATCTAGAAACTTGACTAACTCAAGGACAGTTTAAAATAAATCAGTATTTTTTTTTAAATGTAGGTATATTTCAGACTCATTAAATAGGGAATGGATTTATATTTTATTTATTTTACGTATGTGTTCTATGTTCACTGTAGGATTCATCATAGAAGAGATACTATGGAAAAGATGGTTGTTAAAGACATTTTGCTGGTGTAGCAACTGTCTGCCAGAATCACAGTAAATAACAGTATAAATTCTAGAGTCTACATCTGGATTTGAGTGCCTAGTTCATCATTTAGCTATGTGACCTTGGTCAAACTAACATCTCTGTGCTTTGTTTTCCTTATACTAGAAATGAGATGATCATAATACCTACTCGTAGAATTGTGGGAATTAAGGTGAAATAGTGAACATATGACACATTGCCTGGCACAAATGCTACCAGCATATTACTAATGTTACTAGAAGTAAAAAACAGAAATAAAGGTTTTCTCTGTTGAGGATTCAGACAGGTATGCTGCAGTTCCTCTTCCTTCTTCCTAGGTTTCCTACATAATTTGACCAGCCAGTTATTCCTTTTACTAAAAATCTGTTGCTTAAAAATATTACTGTAGCACAAGAATTAATAAAACAAAATCTGTGAGATATAAATTTTATGTAACAAATGCGATGATTTCAAGAATTTTTACAGTGTAATCAGATGTGAATTAAGAATTTCTTTTGCCTATTCTATTTCAAATCAATAATATTTCATTTTTGTTTACTTTTAACATTTTTTTATCTTTTTTTCAGTGGAATGAAGTGACCACATCTTTCCGAACAGGAATGCCCCTGAGAAAACACAGACAACACTTTAAAAAATATGGCAACTGCTTCACAGCTGGGGAAGCCGTGGATTGGCTTTATGACCTATTAAGAAATAATAGCAATTTTGGTCCGGAAGTTACAAGGCAACAGACTGTTCAACTATTGAGAAAATTTCTTAAAAATCATGTAATTGAAGATATCAAAGGCAGATGGGGGTCAGAAAATCTTGATGACAATAATCAGTTATTCAGGTACTGAATGGTTGTGTACCTATATAATGAAATTACTGTGAAGTTTTATTTCCACTTTTACTGCAACAACAACTTCTTTAATAGAAGTAATATTTTCTTTTGAAAGGTGTTACTGCTCTTAATTCAAGTAATCCATTTAGGAAAGTAAACTTCAAACTATTTAACTTAATATACAGAAAAGGAAATCGGGAGAAAACTGAAATATTATCACTTGCATATTATGAAAAGTTTATAACATATCAATGATATATTATTACTAACCTTTAGTTTCCCAGCTTGTATAAGACAAATCTATAGGTCCTTGCCTTCAAATAACATGTCACCTGATACAATCTAAAAATATATGTGATAAGAGAATATCAAACTTTAACAGACAACACAAGAAATAAAACAAGGTTAAGGAGAATATTAGGCAGTTATCTTACACCAGATGATTTTTATGTTTTCTAATCCCTAAAAGTAAAGCTCAATAAAAATTTATAAGCTCTTATTAGAGAAATTTATATAATTGTTATTGAAGAGAATAAATGAAGAAAAATACCCTGCTCACAAATAATTTTGCCTCACATATATGTCAACAGAATACTTGCCAACTTGATATAAAAATCTAGTGCATTTCTATTCAGAGTTCCAATATAGATTTTGTAGCATTTGATAGGGCAGTTTTGAAAAGCAAGGAAAATTGGCTTACCTGATATCTGGACTTAAATTAGCTCAAAATAATTAATTGCTGGGAAAACAAATCTGCACATGTGTGAGAATGTGGTGTTAGTTTTAAATGGTTTACATCCCTAAATATAAAAACTGAAATTCTTAAGGGAGAAAGAATACAAGAAAATACGTGTAAGACAGTGGAGTAAGAACTTCTAATGTCACTAAAAGCTTACATATAATAAAAGATACCATAGAGAAAAAAATTAGACCATATATTGCTAACATAAATATTGAAAGTATAAAAGCATGGCCAAGAAAGAAAAATGCTAACTAGAGCTTTGTGACTTACCTTAGGTAGTGGGAGAAAGAAAAGGAATGAGCAAAGAATCACATTTCCTTGAAAAAGGAAATTGGGCCAATGTCAACAGTTTCATAGCTTGGTGGTTACATACATGAATGTTCCTTTATATTGTTTCCTGTGGTTTTATGTCTTTGGATATTTTACACTACCTTGAAAGGAAAACAAAAAATTAAAATCAAAAGGAGCAAGAGACTAAGTTCTGGAAATTAGGATAAACACAGCCAAGCAAAAGGCAAAAAAAAAATATGGAAACTAGATAATTAATTATAGAAACTGTAGCATTCTAGAACCATTATGTGTATCAGTGCTACTTCTCCAAAGAAATGATCCGGTGGTAATCCAGAGTTTTCTCATGAATAAAATTCAAATATGCAGAATATACTAAAGAAAGCAAGAAATGATTAATATATTTTAAGGGTTAGTAGGAAAATTGATTTATGGAGAATATTCATTTCTTAGTAATATAAATAAAACAGATTATATGATTTTTAAAATAGATCAGCTATAAAAATTGCTTCTGATTTCAGGTTATTTAACTACATATTGTCTTTAAACCAGATTTCCTGCAATTTCTCCACCTAAAACACTGCCACGAAGGCATCCAGAATTGAGAAAAAACAGTATCGACAGTTGTTCCAAAGATAAAGAGAATGTTTTTAAGTTACGAAACTTGTCTCGTAGAACTCCCAAGAAGCATGGATTGCATTTCTCTCAGGTAAAATGTCCTTTGATTAATCACTAGTTTAAATATAATTACCATGTGATTAATAATAGGATCATTAAAAGTAAATGATTCTTTAATATTTGAGCCCATACTAAAAGACCTCAACCGACACAACATTCTAAACATATGTATGCAAATGCATTTGGAACCCATGGAAACAGTGATAAAAATGTTAGTAAAACATACTTGAAAATGGTGTTTATATAATTTAAGCGCATTCTGTTAGAATATTATTCTTCCTCCTGTATTAGCTTTTATCACCATGACAAAATACCTGAGAGAATCAACTTCAAATGAGGAACGCTTTATTTTAGCTCATGGTTCAGGCCTCAGCCTAGGGTCAGCTGGCTCCATTGCTCTGGGACCTGTGCAAGGCAGAACATCTTGACCTGAGCTTCTGGTGGAGGAAACTGCTCACCTCAGGGCGCCTGGAGATGAAAGAGAAGGAGGCAGTGACCCAGTGACCTAACTTCCT